GCCGACCTCCTGAAAACCATCCATAGAAGGTGGGTCTTGCGTACGTCTCCCGGGAAAGTCGTCATGATCCGCTGGCGTGTAGAGAGCCAGTTTGGAGCAATGAAAGACTGGGTAGACAGGCAAGTGGCTAGGCACCTGAATCATGAAGGAGGGTCCTTCGGGTGCGTCCCCAGCGGGCTCTATGATCGGCCAAGGCCCCATCCATTTCGGGAGGAGCTTGCGAGAGACGTCTTGTTCAAGGCTGAATTCCGCTGCTGAAACCCAGATGAGGTCCCCGATGCGGAATGGGCAAGGAAGACGCAGGCGATTTGCCTGTTGGCTCATGCGCTGCTGCGTCTTAGCCATATGGTCGCGTGCCTTGACAAGAAGCTCTTGCATCCGACGCAAGAAAAGAAGATGGTCGTCGGTCTCGGCCGTGCGTGAAGTAATCGTGTCCAACAGTGACGTGACCGGCGAGCCGTGCTCGAACTCGAAGGGCGATATCCCAATAGCCGGGTGGATGGAAGAGTTGTAGGCCAACTCAACGTCCGGCAGTCGCTCAACCCAGTCTTTCTGGTCGGGGCGCATGAGAGTGCGAAGGAGAACCTGTGCGGTCTGATGCGCCCTCTCCGTCTGGCCATCGGTCTGAGGGTGGCGAGCTGAACTGGGCTTGAGAGATGAGCCCCATCGCTTGATGAGCGCCAACCAAAAATCGGACATGAACCGAGTGTCGCAGTCGCAGACGATCTCCTTGGGGTAACCCTTGGTGCGAATCCAAGCGGCGTACAGAACCTCGGCCAACTCCGGTGCCTTGGCATGATAGCGACAAGGCAAAAACATGGCGAACTTGGTGAGTCGGTCGACCACTGTGAGAATCCCATCCACTCCGGTCTTGTGCTTGGGGAACAGGCCGGTGATGTCCATGGCAATCGCTTCCCTTCGCCTCAATGGGACTGGCAATGGTCGTAACTCGCCGTACGGACGATGGTTGCGGGATTTGCAGCGTCGGCAAACCTCGCATGACTCGCAATAGCGCGTGACGTCGCCGAGAAGGCCGGGCCACCAAAATCATTGGCAAAGTCGGCCAATCGTGCGATTGACTCTAAAGTGTCCGGTGGCGGGAGCATCGTGGAACTCGCCAAGAAGCCGTGTACGCAAGTGAGGATCACTCGGTACGCAAAGAAGGTCCTTCCCCCGCGTGTGGAAAAGCAAGTACCCCTCTTGGATCTCGTAGTGAGAAGGAGACGGATTAGGAGAGAAGCAATTCGTGTACTTGTCGCGAAAATCGAGGTCGGCTTGGTAGCCGCGGATGAAGCTGTTCCGCAGGTCGTCGTCAATCTCGAAGGTCGAGTAGACTGCGATACAATGATCCGGACGTCGTGAGAGAGCATCCACAAAACGGTTCGACTTCCCGGGAATGTGATCGGGAAAGAAGTCGAACTGGTCGATGAAAGCCATCCATTGAGCGATGGTGCTGTTGACGGTGTCTTGGGTCTTGTAGAAGACCAACGGATTGTTGTCCGTTACCCATCAAAATTGGCTTCGACCAAGGAGGAAGTGCCGCCACCGCTTGAGCGCGTGGACGAAGGCGASGAGCTCCTTCTTGCGTGCATCATCAATGGAATGCACGAGGGGCACTTTCTTGCTGAAGTACTCGACCGGGTGCCAGTCCACACCATCATGTTGCTCGAGGACTGCACCAATGCCATAGCCTGACGCATCCGTAGTGACACGTGTAGGCGCGAGCGGGTCGTATATGCGCAAGACCTCCGCAGACAATAGTGCGGCTTTGAGAGCGAAGAATGATCCTCGCGCCTCCTCTCCGAAGTCAAACGGTCGATCCTCGCACTGAAGCTTGTTCAAGTGGGCCGCGATCTTGGAGTAGCCTTTGATGAAGCGCTGATAGTAGCCGGTAAGACCGAGGAACGAGCGGACATCCGTGACGTTCCGAGGCTCCGACCACTCTTGGACGGCCTGAATCTTGTCCGATAGCGGACTGATGCCCTCCGGTGTAACAAAATGGCCCAAGTATTCCAACTCTTGCTGGACAAATTCGCACTTGTCGCGGTTGGCCTTGTACTTGGCACGGCGGAGCGTCTCCAACACTTGTCGAAGATGTCCAAGATGATCCTCCAATGTCCGGCTGTAGACGAGAATATCGTCTAAGTAGACCAGCACGAACCGGTCCAACATTGCACGGAACTCATTGGTCATCGCCGCCTGGAACGTCGCCGGGGCGTTGGTGAGGCCAAAAGGCATGACCGCCCACTCAAAATGTCCGTACCGCGTCTTGAACGCGGTCTTGTAGCAATCGTTCGGCTGGATCGAGATTTGATGATATCCCGATTTCAAATCCAA